TTTCTTAATATTGTACAACATGGCCATAAAAAAAATCTATTTCATTTGAACTAGGGGCGGCAAGAGAAAGAAAATGTGTAAAAAAAGAGGGAAGTTATCACTTTACAACCGTTTTGAAGTTTAGGGAACAAGAAGTTAAGTCTTAGTGTTTGAAAGAATAAAGCATGTTGGCAGAACAAAGCTATTATTGGAAAGTATGGTTCGTTAGGTAGGAGTTCATAGCCTTTTGAAGGTGGATGGGTTTATGGAAAGTTGGTGTTCTCTTTGGCATTTTATCAAACACTTCATGGGCAATCAGGTAGGATTTCATAACAATCATTTTGTTGCTTGACACCCAATTCTCCAATAGGAATACACTTCAAAACAATCACAACTGTCAACTGGAATTCCTAAAAAATTAAGATGTTGATAACATCCAAGGAGTATATACTTGTGAATTAATACACTTACAAAACTACTTGAGTTGTTTCTTGATGTTTTTGCATTTCCAAAAGCCTCCAAAATTGGATTAGTTTTAATTATCTCATATTCTCTTCCACTACCACCTCCAACAGAAGCCAAATATTGCATTGCTATATTTGTTGTTTTAGTTCTTCTAACTCCATTTTCACCACTACACAAAAAAAGTTTATGAAGTTGGTCCTGCATTGGACTATAATTCAGAGAAACAAACATTACATGAATTAAATAATCCAAGCTTCAATAGTTATGAAAAATCAATAAAATACTTACATAGATCATGTATCTATCATATATGTATTGAAACCATGACCGGAGCTTCTGAATGAAAATGAAGAATTTAGCCAATTAGGTCATTTATCTGACTGAATTCATCGAGGCAATATTGCCCCATTTGGTTTGACCCCATGAAGAAAGAACAGGTCCTTGAGGAGAAACTGAGAGATTAACATCTTCATCATCCATCGAAGTTCTATTATCCATGAACAAAGTTGATATGTGACCGTATGGTGATCCATGAACAAAGTTGATATGTAACCATATCATAAATCGTTATCAACAATCTGATCAGTGTTACCATTTTTGAGTACTCTAATCACTTTGAACAATAGAAAAACACAAAAAAATCGCACTTGAGAGTAATGTAAAGTAAAGAAGAAGCACCTGAGAGTTGAGATACCAAAATTCCATTTCTCGTGGTGTGGTTCATCACCATAATAATTGTTCAAGGGTAGAGAGAGAGAGAGAGAGAGAGAGAGAGAGATCATACCTAGCTTCGGTGTTCGAAGGCAGCAACGATGGTGGAGACTCTTGGTGGTTTAAAGGGAGAACCCTAACTATTTCGTTTAAATAGAACCACTAATTTCTCGATATTGGATAAAATGTTCTTTGGTCTTCTACGTTTCAGGCTTTTGATAGTGGTTTTCTTCACCGATTAGGGTTTTCGTGGCGGTTGTAGGTGACAGCAAACTTAGTGGTGAAGGTCGCGGCGGCAAATCGTGGGATAGTGGTGACGGTGGCTCTAGGTAACGCCGGTTGTGGTCATGGCGACAGGTTGAAACACCGATAGCTTGAAGTGACGTCCGTGGTGGCGGTAATGGTAGGAGGTAGGGTTTTTGGAGAGATTATGACGATAGAAACTGTATTATGGAAGGATGGCTTTTAAAGAGATCAGGTAAGCGTAAATTTCATTTTGAAATTGTAGTGTGTGTTAAATTAGTGAGCGTGATATAAGAGCCGGTCAAAAGCTTTCTAAAGATATGGGCGACATTTAAGCTTGATTTGATGACATTTGAATTTAAGAATTCAAACAAACGTTGATGTGCTTGAGTTTAAATGTTTAATATTATTTTATTATCGGTTACTTGTACTATTAGCTTGATAGTTTGGACATCTTAAAAAATATTATTATTATATTGAATCTATTTTTAGAAATAGTGAGATTTCTTTTATAAGATAGTAAGATATATATATATATATATATATATATATATATATATATATATATATAGTAGGTGTGAAAACCATGTATTACATGGGCTAATTAAAAAGTTAAATATCAAAATGTAAACATTAAGTATTTTTTAAAATTAAATTTTAAAATAAGGAAGAAAAAAATATATTTATTGCAATTTATAATCATATTTATTACATTTAATACTTTACTTATATAACTATATGTATTATGTGATTTTTTAATTTTACAAATTAAAAAAACCTAGAAATTGATATGTGGATATTATTTATTTCAAAAATATTTCAAAATAACAAGTGTCAAAACTTATGAAAGATTGACATTTGGCAAAATGGATCTTTATTTATTAGAGTATATTAGAGTATATATATATATATATATATATATATATATATATATATATATATATATATATATATATAGAGAGAGAGAGAGAGAGAGAGAAAGAGAGAGAGGTTCATGTATTCTAACTAAATATTGTGTGGATGTAAGGATGAATGTGGACCAATAATTTCAAATACCTAAATAATGGTAAAATTGTAATCTTAGCTATAAATTAATTTTGGTAAATTTAAATCAATTAATTTTCGTTTAAATAAGAATCGGTTTCATAGCATTAACCCTAAATCTCGTTCCAACTAAAGATTGCCTTCTTCACCAGAGAACATATGATCTCTACCAGGAACCCAAACAAGAAAATCACATTTTACTTAAATCGTGATTACGAGTTTATCTGAAGGAAACCAAGTCACAAATCCGGTGGTGTTTGTGTTGCTTGGTGTTCGGCAGGAGGAGTCCGATGGTCTTCGGAGTTGATGAGTCGAACGGAAGAATAAGAATGAAGCAGCAAGTTGTGTCAATTCTCGATGGTGGCTAATCGATCGCAAAATGGAGGGAGATGTCCCTTGGGTTCGACGAACCGAAGCAACAAAAGGGACGAAGCAGCAGCATCGATCCGTAACAGTGGAGGGGTTCGATGGTTTTTGCTTGAATATCCCAGGTCGTTCCTTCTTCTTCTTCTATTTTCTTTTTATTGTTCTTGATTGAAGTTGAGAAGAACGAAAATTCTTTTTTTTTTTTGTGTTGATTGTAAATCAATGAGGATTCACCAATAGATTTAGGTGGGTGTTTGATGGATGTTTAACAGCATTCAAAGGAGGATTAAATTGGATGTTTGGATTTGATTTTTTTCGCAGGAATTCATGGTTGAACAGGTGTTTGGGTTTACTATTTTGGCAGAATTTGATTCAACATCAAGAGGGGTTGTGATCTGGAAATGGACTTTCTAAATTACTTAAATTTTACAATTCTTTTAATGTTGTAAATGATTTTGACAAAAAAATGATGTTTATCACATTGTCGATATATATTGCATTACAGGTGTTGGTGGAAATGTCTAAAGAAAAATTTGATGGTTAAATTATTGAAGAACACAAAAAGAATTATTTGTCTAAAATAGAAATTTATGATAATTTTTAGGGAAAATGTATTTGTTCAGGAATTGTATATTTGAGAATGATATTTTTTTAAGAATTTTAAGCATTTTGATGACATTCTGTTAGAATATGTATAATATATACTAAAATGTATCAAGAATTTTATATTTGAGAATGATATTTTTTCAAGAATGTTGTTATTATTCAACAGCAGGTTCAAAAATTTTGTTATTATTCAATAATATTCTAGTAGAATAACATTCAGGTTCAAGAATTTTGTTATTATTCAATAATATTCTAGTAAAATAACATTATGAAAAAAACCATCTCATAGAACATCATTATAACAAAATAAAATTCTGATAGAATTCTAATCGAATTAATTAAAAAAATCAGAATTCAAAATTAAGATAATAAAAGAAATCCCGAAAATTCCGAAAATTCCATTTTTAAATTTGAGTTTCCTAATTTAAAAGTAATGTAAATATACAAATTTACCCTTCTTTTATATAAATGATATTATTCTATTTATTTTTAATTTAATAATATGGATAAATGATTTTCTTAAAATAACTAAAATGATTGGTCCACAATCATTCCTACATACACACAATAATTAGTTAGAATACAATATCCTAAGCATATATATATATATATATATATATATATATATATATATATATATATATATATATTAAAGAAAGTCATCCTTAGAAACAGTAAAGTTCCTAAGGTTTTGGCAACATTTGTCCCTTATTTATTTATGTATGGTTAATTTTGTCTCTTTTGTGGGTTTGTTTTAGAATGAATCCTTTTACGTCATTATCTAGATTGGAGGTGGGCACGTGTTGTTTGTATGTTTTCTTCACCGCTTTGTAACCCAATCACATTCGGATTAGTGTTATTCTTCTTCACCGTTTTTGTCCTCAGCTCTTTGTTCTTCTCTTTGATTCCATCGCCTATAATTCTTCTTCTCAATTAAACCTCGAAAATGCTCTCACTACCACCGCCCTACAAGCGATCGCTCACCACCAGCAGCAGCCTACTCTGCCTCTTCCGTTACTCAGCATCACACAACCGCCACCATACACCAGTCGACCCCCCTTTGTAAGCCGATTACATTAGCATTAGTGTCATTCTTCTTCACCGCCTTTGACTCAATTACATTATTGTTCATCGGTTACCACACGGGTTACGCCTTTTACTTCCCGGTCCTTCTAATCTGCTGCTCCAAATTCCCACCGCTCACCTCACCGCTCCCGCTGTTGATTTGGAACGTCGATTGCACCACAAAACCTCCGATTCAAGTCTGATTAAACGATAACGGAAGAGGCCGATAGACGAGAGGTAACAATCACATCGGCTGGGACGATCATTTTCACGTCTCCTCCGCTTCATCTATTTCTTGGCTTCGACTTCCAATCGATCATCAACCATCAATATAGGGATTATTGTTCCAGGTATGTAACCGATTTGAACTATCTTTTGAGTTAAACTCAATTAGTGAGTGTGTGTGTTCGTAAAACCAGAACCGATGACGGGATGGAAGCTTATTGAACGTAGGAAATGGAGATTGAGGGTATTTTCTTGGAATAGACCGAAGAACAAACCCAAAATTGATATTTCAAAAAATGGAACCGAGAACCGATTCGTCGGATTCAGAAGGCATTCGAGAGAAAAGGAAGACGATGGAGGAGGCAGGAAAGAAGGCGGCCACGAAAGGAGTTGACTGCATCATTCCGATGAGTAGTACCAGGTGGGGTTTAATTTTTGTGAATAACAAATTGTTCTATATCAACATTTTCAAATTTTCTATTTAATCAATTGCTATCTAACCATGCATGAATGTAATCAATGTTCACGAAGCATGGTTTGCCAACGAAGATGCAGTTTGTAAAGTTGTTGGCATGTTGGATAATACCGATATCAAGCCACCAAAAGATGGAGAGGAAAGTTAGGGTAAAATAGTAAAGAAGTTTATGTTTCAGACTTTTAGGAAAATTTATAATCCTTATCTTTGTATCATTTGAAGCTTCCTTGTGGGATCTGCTTTGAATCATATACACTTGATAATGTTAGCACTGTTGCTTGTGGTCATCCTTTATGTAATACATGTTGGGCAACTTTGTATTGATAATGTTCTCTGTTTTTGTTTCATTATACATTATAAGTTTATAATTGATATACTGAATTACTGATTTATGTTTTTTTTAATGTCTTCATTGATTGTGGTAGCTTACATTGACACATGTATCAATGACAGTCCTGATCGTTTGACTTTGAGATGCCCAATTCAATCTTGTGGTACTGTTGTTGGTGTGGACATGGTCAATATGTTGACTTTAGATGAAGATAAGAAGAAATATCATTGTTACCTTCTTAGATCTTATATTAAGGACAATAGAAAGGTATGAAATTTATCTTAAGGTTTCATAATCAAGATTTTGATTATACTTTTATTCATTGATAATTTGATATGATAGACAAAGTGGTGCCTTGCTACTCCAAGCCCATCTGAAACACCAGTTTAGAAGAACACCTTATGCCTACCAAAGGCTCCTCCATAGGGTAGCACAATGTTTCTTATCGATGCTGATTTGCAGGGAAACTAGCAGAAACTCTGTTGAAGCCTTGGTATGTTTATTACAAATTTTCCCTTTCATTTCTTCAATTTAGCATTATTCTCTCTGAATAATTTTTGAACACCAAGATTCAAATTAATTCACATTTGTTTTATTTTTTTTTTTGATGTTCTTAGGTGACAAGCACAAGGTAAGAAACTGCTCTAATGGACTCTAAAAGTGGCAAGTACTTTCAACTTCCTTCTCTATCTCTGTCTGCCTTGCAACTCCTCTAATTTTGAAACTTCCCTAATTTCCTATCTAATTTTGTCCAGAGCCTAAAGAGAAGCTGAGTACAGGTTTGGGAAATGGAAAGGCTTAACAAAGTTAGTGCTTTTATATGAGAAAGATGCATGTAAGGTGTTCGATGGATTGCCTTAGCCAATTAAGGTATTCATTTAAGCTTATTTTACCTTTACCTGATTCATTACTGAATTACATTTGAAATTTTGAGATGCACAAGGTTATGCATCGGTTGGTATTTTCTAAGAATTTGAGGTGCACAATTCATTTTATGTATTTTACCTAATTTCTAATACTCCTTGCTAAAACATCATTATCTTAGTCGTTGGATTGGACGTTGGAAGCGAAGATTGAGAGTCAAATAAAACATTTTATTGCTTTAAATTCAATTTAACAGGTTTTTAATTCTGAGTTTTGGGTTTTTCTCAATATATGATTGTGGGTTTTGTTTTTGTTAAAAGAATTGGTTTGACTGAATCTTAAAGGTGATGGTCATTGGACACCATCACAACGCCACCAATACCACTGTCTACAGGTACTTTTGTAGCTTTTGTAAGTCTAAAATGTTGTGAATTGTTTTTCAGATTGTAGGGGTAAAATGGTGATTTTTTTTGTCATTCAGCAAGTTTATTATGTCTACAAACAAAACAAACTTTATATATGGATCAAGTGTTGTCTGTCTAGATCATTTTTAGAAATATCTTCGAAAATGACAGCATGTAAGGGTTTATTTGTATAAATTTACTTGCAAAAGCTTCCATTTGATTCAATAATAATAGTTTGATAACAGTCTGTTAGTCCGATGGAATTAGGGGCAAGATTTATCAACATAACGAATTATACTGTGAATTCAAAAATTTTATATTATTGTTATATATCTAGAATTTTTAACAAATAAATCTGATATATAGATTTATGTTAAATGTTTTTAACAAATATATCTTAAAAAAAATTAATTCAAACCCATCAATGAGCATATATAGTTTTCTCTAAAAGAATATTTATATTTCGTTCCATATCAAGCAATTATAACCTAAGTTTTTTGAATATTTTTAATGTTTTGCAGGTAATAGTGAATTTTACAGCAATGTGGTGCAAGCCTGCAACAACATTGGAGCCATTCTTTACGGAACAAACTTTGATACATAAAGATGCCACTTTCTTACCTGTTGATGTGGTTGACGTGAAGGTTGATAGGTTTTGAGCATAACAAACAATTCATATGTGTGTATGCAACCATGAAATCTTGGATCCATGTTTTCTCTAATTGAACATACAACCTTTGAACATCAAATGGAAAACCCTAGGAGCTATATGATATTTTTGAAATTCATATAACTAGGGTTAGAATACATGCCTTAATTGTTATATTGAAATAACAATGAATTCCTAGTCTTCTTGAACTTTGAGAGCAAGCGTCACAAGTGTCACGCCTCTAATGGTTCACACCCAAACTAAGCAAGAGGATGAGAGAGGAGAGAGGATAGGAGTGCTAGGAATTTCGGATAATCCTCTAAAGAATCATGTGGCCGAAAATGAGAAGGGGTAAGGCCCTTTAAATATGTGAGGCAACTTAGAGCCAAAACTAGGGTTTTAGGAGGAAACCCTAATTCCCTTAACTTAGGGACCAAACAGCCCATGAACTCCCATCCAAGAGCCGTTGGACAAAAATTATAGGGCCTTCCTTTCATCCAAACCCTTCTAGGGTTCTAGATCCAATTTCCTCAACTATCAATAAATTGTCAAACAGCCCCTACACTTTTAAATAATACAATTAATCCCAAAATTAATTCCAATTAATTTCTGATTAATTATTAATTAAATAATATGATTTCTAATTAATATATTATTTTTATAATACATTAATAAATCATTTATTTCAATTTAGTAATCAAATAAGAAATTGAACCTTTCTCTCTCCAAAAGTCATCCTGTCTAGTTGCTAGTTTTGAGGGCAACCCAAAAGGACCATACTACTATCAATTTAAGTATATATCAATTATAGTTATGGGCTTAAACACCTAATCCAACAGTCTCCCACTTGGATAAGTCTAATAACTATATTTTCTAGTACAACTTCAAAAAATGATTAGTAAATTGTAGCTCTCAAAGTCGTTGTCGAACTCTGACCCAATCAGTTACGTATCTTAAGATAAGTGATCATATAATCCTCCGTTCTACAAGATATCGTATAGACATGAGACATGGATTATAATCAATCTCATTGTCCAAGTTTTATTTCTCGATTTCTGATTTATGACGACTGATTCAGACTACCAATTGAATACATCAATTCAGTCCATGCTTGGCCAAGCACTTTAGATGCCGACATCAAATCATCGAGGGGCCCATAAATATCGCTTTTCCCGTTAGGGAAAAAGGAACAGATAAACTTTGACTTATATGCTTGCACTATTCACTCATCAAATCATGCACAACAATATGTTTTATAACATCAAGTTATTGATGCGTTTACGCATTATCAATGCACAAATGACTTGTAAACAACAACTCATATATCTCTGTTTCAAGAATATAAGATATTATCGTCTCAAAATTACTCGTGATTAATCTATGAAGTAATTCCTTGAGCGTGGTTTATCCAATACTCCAAATCCCCATTTCCAAGTACTCATGCACATGACAGCAAAACTATTGCTATGTCTAAACCCTTAGACAATATACAATTCAATTCATGACAATCTTAATTCACTACTTACTTCCAAAGGTACGATCGACTGTGGATGTTTGAATAACCAATTATTTGGGAAGTAAAACATGCGAAGTCAAACACAATGATAACCTAATTTAACTATGGTCTCAAAACTATTGAATATAAGTAAAACCCTTATTATTTACTCACCATATTAACTAGACTTTATTCATTGTATAATGTTTCGAGTAATCAACTAACCACTTGAATTAAACATCAGTCATGCCATGTTATAAACATACATAATATGTCTCTATGGTCCTAACTTTGTGAACAGATCGATTAGACATTATTCCAATGATGCTTATTTCACAATTAGTTACTACTAAATGTGATAGAGTTCAACCTTACATGCAATATCCTTTTGTGATGTCGAGGATTCAAAGTCACAAAGACTTTCACAACTATATTACAAAATGTTCCTTTAAAACTTTGTTACTTAAAACAATTCCATGGTAACTAAGTCTCAAATTCAAGATACACTCCTTGAACACCTTCCTTACATTAAAGTTCCTAACTCACATGTAGATTTAATTATCAACTTCCACTATGGAAACATTTCCATATTCTCATATGACCATCAATTATGAACAAGAGTCACCTCTATTCAGAATTATGTCAATATGGTCCGTCCAAATTAATACTATACTTCCAACTGTCCAAAAGCAACCAATGTTCAGTAAACCTCAGAGTGTCCTTGACAGTTGTTTAACAACCTTAGTCACACCATGTTCTAGTCCTTTTTCCTTCTCAATACGCAAGGCATTTGGAAAAATAAAAACAAGTGAATGTTATAACATATGTAAATAATCCTATATCCGAAGCATATGGGACTCGACACATAATGTATTACATAGAGACTTGATGTATGATTAGTCTCTTGCTATAATATTTCCATATATCGAATTTCCTATGTTGAATCATTTCAACACGACATTCATATATGTCCAAGACTAAGTTCCATTAAAACTTCAATCTAAACTTTTAGATTTGAAATGAAGTATAAGTGCCCTCTCCCCTAAATCTTTCTGTAGCGAAACAATTCCCAAACTTTGCAAAATTGAAATCTTTGTTTCCTACAACTAATATTTCCAACTTGCAACACTTAACATAATAATTATGCTCCCACTAGCATAACAATTATGCTCCCAATAGCTTTGACATGTATCCAGAAATAAACTGGATTTCTAGAAATCAATACTTTTTGACTTTCTTACTAAAGTGCAGATTTCTGATACGTAATGTTTCGATAAGTCTTCAGCCAGACTTTTCAAGCTCATACACCTTTCATTAGATTGCATATTTATGTGTTTAAATCCTTTCAGAACTTATAGCTATAAGTTCCGAACGTTCAAACTATTTCTTGCTATTTCTCACAATTCGAACTATGAAAAGGGATGATGTAATCATATTATGAATTTGAGAACTCAATTAACGCAACCACTAACCAAAATGATATTTATCAAATCTTTAAAATCTGCTAGCTAAAGTGTTTCCTCATAATCATTTTCATGGATTAGAGTGAAAAGTTTTGCCACCAAGATTTTATGGTGTATGTGTTCCCATCCACGTAAATCTTATCATTTCCAATCCATAATCATAAGATAAAGTTAAGGACAAAACCAAAATCAAATTTAGTTCTCCTTTCATGGACTGAACTTTGCTCATTCTTAATTTCTTTCCTTCTGGTAGCACACGAACCTACCAATGCTTCCAAGTTGTTAAGCAGTTCACCCATATTGATCAATGTACTTTCAGTGACCAACGTGCTCTGCCTTTTGCAGTCAAATGAGAACCATAGAACTCATAAGCATTTCCAACTCAACTGGAAGATGCACAGAAACAAGAATGTTTCAACTTAACATGATAGGTTATCAACCTCAAGGCGTGTGCTAGTGATAACTAAAAGGTTTATTCTCGACTCTTGAATCTCTTCAAGATCAATAAGACTCCCACTGACTTCTTGACGTATAAGTTTTCCTTTTAAGGAACATTCCTCGACAACCTTAAACAAATATTAAAAAGCCAGAGTGGATTCTCAACAAGAAAACACTTCACAAAATTGGTCTTAGCGTATCCTTTGTTTTAACCGAAACATCACAACTTCCAATTCCAATGTGCTAGAGTAAGAAAACATTATTAATCCACATTTCATGAGATGTTATAAACATAATTAGTACGAAACAAGCTTCAAGATACGATTTATAGTCACTAGAGCATGACTCTAAAATTTTAACTGGATACGAAGTATGACTCATCTCTTAATTGAACCATTTCAACAATATCTGATTCCTATTCTTAGTCAAAACTATTGCAGTAAGATGTTCTTTGAGGATCAATTGTGATATGGTTCCACAATCATTAAGATGATCATAAAACATGATACTAAAGTACCATCCTTTCCTTTTAGATTGGAGAAAGCTTTATCTTTCTGCCTAACAGATTCTTCTTATTCGTTCTGCCACTCTTTGAAACTTTTCAAAACATCAAAATTATGCTTAATCTTATTAACACAACCATGTTTACTGAAAGCATTAGTAAATAATGAAGAATAAGGTTATCATCCTTTGTGGCGGATCTGAATAGTCCACATCAATGTGTACTAGATCCTTTAGTCCTTCACTTGATTCACATAAACATTTAATCAACAAAATAGTCATAATATTCCAACGATCAAGATTCTCATACATCACACTATTCAAATTGCATGACTCCAAGTTTCTATCCAATTGAAACTTGGGTGATGAGAATTCCTTTTCACATGGTCAATCATGACACTACCACAAACGATATAGTTAAGAATCAAATCCATATTTAACATTGCTAATAATAGAAATGTAACCACCAATTTTCATACATGTCATTTCAAGGAAATAGAAAGTAAACTAGATAAATAAAAAAAATTCACTTTTATTGATAATAAGCAGAAATTTTTTTCCCATACAATGCAAAAATATGAAAACTATGTTTCTAAACATCTCCTAAGCAATCTATTAAGTTATCATAACTCCTAAGAGTAGCTTCCAAAATCTGATCATCGAACCATGCTACCGAAATCCATCTCTCACGATCAGATTCAACTCACTCTTCTTAAACTTCATTCTTTCTCTTAGATCCTGCAAAACATCAAAATGTGATCATCACATCATGTATTAAGAGTGTATGAATAGGAACTTATTACGATAATGGAGTAAGATAATGGATGTACATGAAGTAGAGTCACACGACTTGACTTTACAATCTCTAAGATCTTTTAGGTAGACTGGGCAGCTTCGCAACCAATGCCACTCCAATTGGCAATAGAAACATATGGACCTTTTAGGATCATCACATGGAAATATCTAAGAAATAGCCTTTCTCTTTAGCATATGGTCAAATGGTTTGACCTTGGGCGATCCCTTTCCATTAGGAAGAGAAATCTTTTCTGGACTACCATTGTTGCCATTGTCAATGTCCATGGAAATTTGGGATACATATCCTTCAAACACTTT